AAAAAAAAAAAAAAAAAAAAAAGAAAATGGAACTTTTTTCACAGAAATAGTTTCAGTGCCGTCAGGAGGAGAGAGGGGAGGAAAATGCCGCGAACATTTTCACGACGAGATGTTTCGCGCGGATATTTTCTGGATTATTGACATGGAAAATAAGGTCGATGAGGCTTACAACCCCATTTCAGGGATAGCGAGAGTCGTCTCGTTAAACGCACAGACGATCCATATTCGTGGACGGCGCAGCGTGCCATTGTATGGAAAATAGGGGAACAGGAAACGGATGTCGCCACGGGGGGACGATCGATGCAACCGTCAGATAGAGCGTGGCATAATTCGGCGCGTAAAATTTTAAAGAGGGGAAAGAGAGGGGGAGGGGAGGGAGTGAAGAGAGCTTAAACGCGCGCGCGATGGAAAAGGAAGATTGAAACGAAGATGGAGGTAACGCGAATTTAAATCGAAATACTGGGAATGGAGGTGACACAGAGTTCGAGACATCGTGCGGGTAAAATAAATTTGCGCACGAGGAATAATCCATCCATTTAACATAACCATAGAAAGAACATTCTTTCTTCCATTCAGACGCAAGAATATATTTTTATCGCTTATTCGTGAACCAGTTTTCGTTTCGAAAGAGCGCGGCTAACTCGACGATGGCTCTCAACATCTCGAGATAACGTATCATTGCACCTTTAAAAGCAGAGCCGTAACCGTGGGTCAAAAGATTCGCATGAGCAGTCAAGCGAGACGCTTTGCGTACGACCTATAGAGAGAGAGAGAGAGAGAGAGAGGGAAAGATACGCCATCTTCAGCTCTACGTCAATTTTAAGACCCGTTTCCAAAGGTATTTTTACGAACGAAGATTGCCAGAGGGGCAATTACGGGCCGACAATGACGAGCAAAGCTTTTCAAAGAGTTTACGAGAAACAAGATTCCGTAAACTTGTCCATTTTCTCGATTTTTACTACAGTTTTTTTCGTTTGCCTACACTCGTGAAAGTTTAATAAAGCGGAGAAGTTTCTAAACCCAGGCGGAAAAATTTCATTAGGATGATTCTCGAAAGTTTGCGAATTTCGAATCATTACTTTCCAAACTGGCATTCGAGTTATTAATTGAATTAATAATAATAATAATACCAACGAGCAACAACGAAAAGAAAAACTACGAATCCTTCGTTTCGTATCTTTACCCACGTACGAAGACTTTAATAAACAATTTACATGCTTTTCAATCGAACACGCGCGCGCGCACAAACACACGCTCCATTCTCCATAGAAAGTCGAAACTCGTTCGAAGATCGAAATCGACTATAATTGGGCGAGAAACAAGATGAGAACGTTTTCCTTCGTGGAGCAAACGCGGTGGCTCGCACGTCGAACGAAAACCTTAACCACTTTCACCGAACACCGTGAAAACCCGAGCTAGACCAGCCTCCAGTAGACGGTTAATAGCACCGGCTCCACCACCTCCTTCGTGCAAACCTTACCGGAAGATCGGTTCGCCGCTCACTTGACTCACTTTATACCAGTCTCGTGTTGTTCTCGTCTCAAGCGAGTCTCCCGTAGCAAAAACTCCGTCGCTACCTCGTTCGTCATTTATTTCCGTTTCTGCGGAAGGAAGAAAACAGAGAGAAAGAGAGAGAGAAAGGAGGACAAAATCTCGAATAATAATTGATCGAAAATCGATCGACGACGACTCGACTCGTGGTGGACGAAAGCGAGTAAAACCTTATTAAATTGTAAGGATTTATAATTAATCAAACTGGACACAACTTGGATTGAATTTGGAGGAATTTGCGGTTTGTTCGTTAGAACTGTTCGTTTGGATTTAATCGAGAGAAGGAGCGACTTATGGTGCAAAATCTCTCATGGATCATCGTACGAGGATAAAATCTCGTCATCGATAATAAATTAGATCGAAAGTTGATCGTCGATGACGAAAGCTTATTAAATTGTAACGATTCAATTGTCAAACTTGACGCAAACTGGACGCAAACTCGATTGGATTACCTTGGAGGAATTTTTCGAGATTTAATTGGATTCAATCGCGAGAAGGAGCGACTTATGGTGAGGATATAGTGCGCAAAATCTCTCATGGATCATCGACGAGGATAAAATCTCGTCATCGATAATAAATTAAATCGAAAATTGNAAAAAAAAAGAATTAATCTTAATTAATTCGATGTTAATTAAATAATTATAAACACATAATTTCCGTTCCTCTTAACGAATATTCTAATCATTTCAATTTTATACAATTGAAATTATTATATTATATATGTTCAAGTAAATATTATTAAATATATCTTAATCCTTTATTTCGATAAATAAACAGGAGATGAAACACGAGGAAATAATTGCAAAAGAATCGATGATCCAACGCTGGTTAGAAAAAGCTATATAAGGAAAGAAACGATGAAACAATCAAGACACCTGTTCCTAAATTACTCTTTTCCTGGATAAAGTGGAAGGAGAAATCAGCATTGTGTTACGAATTGATGGAAAGTGGGTGGTCGTACTCGAAAAACTCGACTTTTTATTCGATCCAAAGAAGAAGAAGGAATCATTCGATGAACTTTCTTTTCTTTTTTTCTTGAAAGAAGCAAAGCCTATATCGCGCGATATCTTGTGATGCGCGAAGAAACAAATCCAACAACTCGTTCTCTCGACACACGTCCATCCTCTCCAACACACGCGCGCCTTCTCGAATCGATGATTTACACGCTCATCAAATTGTGAAACTTTTCGTTTGCACGTTCGATGACGTTCGATGAAGAAGAGACTTTGCGAACAAAGCGAAGAGAAAGTGTGCGTGCCGTTATTTTGCATTGGATAGACGAGTGTAATCGTCGAAGAAGAAAAGAACGTGGGAAGAATTAGAGCAAATCTTGGAAACATGGGTAGCAGCAACAAGGCGAGGAAACATTACAAAAAGGATTCCAGATTCGTCACGGATCTGTACACATTCACATACGATGACTTCGATCTTGTAAGGTTTAAATGGAACGTGAATACAACGGAATGGCGACAGAGTATTCCCGTTCTGGTTAATTAAACGGTTGATTACTTTTACTAAGTTGCACGATGAAGCAAGTTTCTCTAAAAATTAAGAAACGAACCAATAAAATTTATAATTTCTTATCTTAATTTCAATTTATTTATCTGACAGGAAATCTGAAAAAAATATATAAATATATCACGTGAAACGATTAGTTTGTTTCTTAATTTTTGTAACTATATCTCAAATAATTAAGAAACAGGATTTCTTTCGATGGTGGAAGATGATAGAAGAACAATGAAGGCATTGTTTCACCGATGTCTGATCGATAAATCGTTCCTTGCAAAGAAGATCAATGGCCGAAAAACTCTTTCAATCAGAAAGAGAATGAGAGGAAAGTGGGTCGAACCGTACAGATGTTAAGGAAACTGATTTTGACAATCGCGCGCCTCAGTCAATCACAATTGCGAGGAAAAGAAAAAAAAGTGTACATTCCGTCCAAGAATTCCGTTCCGTGAAACTGGATGGGAAGCAAGAATGTAACGAATAATTTGTTGAAATTGTTCTTTTTCTTCGTACAAAGAATCATTCGTTCGTACATGCTCTCTTGATAACAACAGTCTCCACAGAATGTCTTCCATATAGATATTTTAAGCCAATCTGAACTTAACCTTGACGGTTCGACGAGCTCCTTCCAATTCACTTGATCGTTTAATCGTTGAATTTGTAGGCGAGGCGTGCGATGCACGGAATATCGAAAGCTTAATAGATCGAGCGCGTGTTTAGAATTGCAAATTAAATTTTTGCCAACGTAGAATTTCCGCTTCGAGAGATTATTTGTTCGCGACGAAACAGTTTGTAGAAAGATAGATCTCTGTCGCCATTCCCTTGATCACGCTTGAGTCACGCTTTATTACGCGAATCGACGTATCTAATCGAGCGTATCGAAACCTGGCTTTCGTTTCTGGGGCATCAGGACGACGATAAAGAGATCGCGAAGGAACGGCCAAATTCCGAAGGAACGATCTCGTCGCTCCGGAACACCTGCGGGACGAAGGAGCCTGAAAGGGAAGATCTTGTCACGCGATTCGATAGAGTGGTGCGGGGAGATCCGGATGAGGCTTTTCAGGTGTGACTTCCGGTTATGATCATATGGAATTTCAAAGAACTTGGAATCCTTTCCGAGCTCTCGAGAGGAAATATTAAAACGAGATTTTAGATCGTTTAGATCAATGAATAATTTTTTCTTTTTTTTTTTTTTTTCTTTCGTCAAGTTGAAAGAAATTGATTCAAAAGTCTGCTTGCCAAGAGGGAGAGCCAAGATATATACCGATCGTATACTATTTGCCAAAAGTTTAGTTTCGATTTCTTGCCAAAATAAAGATTCAATTTTTATTGGCAGGATAAAAGTTTGAGACTTTCTTTTTTTTTTTTTTTTATTTTCGAACCCTTGCCAAAGTATTTTAATATATTTATTTTTGTGAAGATATAATTTGTTCCCGCCCGGATTCTATTTCGTAATATTATTTTATCGTTGGTGCAAAATCTATAAAACCAATTTTACGAAAACAACGTAAAGCCAATAGTAAATTTTCCAATTCCAAACACCTCCACAACCACCACACCTTCCTTCATTCCCAATACCATTGTTCTAATCCAATCCATTCTGTTTCGGTTCAAATAATCCAATCACTTTACTCCTCTCTACCTCCATCGTATAAGGGGGGGGCCAATAGAAATTATTGATGAAGAAGAAAAAAAAAGGAGCCAGCAACGATCGAAGCAAGAAATTTCTCGTCCCTCGATTAATCAATGGCTCATCATCACCTCAATTACGCAAATACGTAAGATGTCGTCAATCTCATTAATTGTCTCACTCCCACTGTGTACAGAGTCTACAGTTTTAGGGAGGAGAGGGGCGGGAGTCGGAAGGAAGGGGAAGAAGATTAAAGACATCGAGGGGGTTTCCACCCCCTCCCCCTTCCGTTGGCGTGTAACGAGCGATGATCACACCTCAGATTTCTCTGTCTGTTCACAGCGACGAAACGATCGTGAAGAGATACGAAGGAGGTTGGCCATGGGTCCAGACGCCGAAGACTTGCGCGCTGAACGCGGAAGAAAGCCGAGCCTTCAGTCGCGGCTTCAGAGCGGTCGGTATCACTCCGAACTTTTACCACCACTTTTTCCACGATCCCGTCATATGCCTCCCTCGTGAATGAAATTTCCATTTAGTCGCTTATCTTTCGAAAAGTGGAGGCGTCGATTTACGAGAGAAAAGTTATCGATCGATAGTGAAATAAGTTTCATGTTCCGTTTTTCTTGAAGTTTATTCCTGGGTGGAATGAAATTGTAACGAAGCCAGTGAGTGATTTTTAGTTTTAGATTTAGTAAATAGAGAGGGAATTTTTCTTTTCTCGAGGAATCGTTGCTGCTCGATTCGACTCGGTTTCGAATTGAACGGTGATTGCAAATTGTTGTGCAATGTACCATAAAACTTTCGATTATCGAGAGATTGAAACGAACGATGATCGATCGTTGACTTGTATTCTAATTTTGCTCGTCTTTTTTAATCCTTTTTTCATTCGATGGAGCTACGAAATAAATTTGAATCGCTTTTTTTTTTGAATGGGTTTTGATTGTTGATTGGTGATCGATAGGTTTTTTAATACAATTGCAAAAGGAAATCTTTTTAAATCTTGTTGTTTTCGATTTACCTTTTATCATCATTAACGAAGATCATTCCTTTCTTTCAGGGATGAATCTTCAAATCTGCTTCATGAACGAAACACCCTCGGACACGGAATCCCCGTGTTCGGAGACTGACTCGTCCCCAGGATCCACGCCGACCTCGCTCAACTCGAAGCAACCGCAGAAACAGCAAATGCCGATCAGACCTCAGGTGCTCAGCCTTCCACCTTTGAGGCTGGACACAGGCTCGAATTCAGCCCCGATCGACGAGGCCGATTTCTTCGCCAGACAGGCGAGATTGCAAACCGAGGCACGAATGGCCTTGGCTCAGGCCAAAGAAATGGCCCACATGCAGATGGAAGTGGAGAGGCAAAGGCTGAAACAGAGTCCCATCACCGAGATGGTGCGATCCAGCCTCGAAAAAGTGAGCCATACATCCTTCATTCTCTTGTAATTTTTTTTAAATTTTATCTCCCCATCTCCATTTATTTCAAATAACGTATAACGATCTTCATCGATTAAACTGTCGAAATTGAAGCAAGAATTCGATTCAATAAAACGAATATTAAATTTATCTCTCGCGAAAAGGGATGAAAATATTTTTTAAAAATTTAAAACCTTTATAAAAATTGTTCGCATCTCCATTATTTCAAATAATATATACGTGCATAAAACGATCTTCACCGATTAAGCTCTCGAAATTGAAGGAAGAATTCGATTCGAACGTTATTTATCTCTCCCGAAAAGGAAGAGGATGGAAATATTTTTTAAAAATTTAGAATCTTTATGAAAGATCGAAACATATAATTTTTCGCATCTCCATTATTTCAAATAATATATACGTGCATAAAACGATCTTCACCGATTAAACTCTCGAAATTGAAGGAAGAACTCGATTCAATAGGAGGAATAATAATAATTTTTCGCGCGAAAAGGGGGAAGAGAGAGAGAGAGAGAGAGAGAGAAATATTAAGCTTTATGCTTCCCCCCAGGTTGGCGTTCAGCTCGGCGAGGATAGGCGCAGATTGTCACGAGTACTTTTAACGGAGCTAAACGTCGCCCAGCTTCAAGTGGTGGCGAACGACTTGCACGCGAGAATCGCAGCTCTGAACGAGGCGCTCGTCGAGGGACTTTTGAGAAGGGACGATTTGCACATGGAACAAGATTCGATGCTCGTCGACGTCGAAGATCTCACCAGATATCTGTAAGTTTTTCGTCTCGCGCGACTTTTAATCTCGTTCTCTCTCTCTCTCTTTCTTTCTTTTTTCTTCTTTTTTTCCTTTCTCTCGCACTTTTATTTCTCGAGCAATCGTGCACAATCTCCTAGAAGCAATTAAGGTTGCTTAAAGAAGAAAAAAAAGAAAAGCATGGCCGTGAAAGGACGCATGGCCTATTTTTCTGAATGCAAAGTGGAACAAGAACCCTTGGGGGAAAAAGGACCAACGCTTTCGCGTACCGAAACCGCATTTCTTCTTTTCCCCTCCCTTCTTCTCGCCTCCTGCACCGTTTTATTTGCGAAATTACCTGTCTTCCTTACCGAAATATATAGCACGATAACTGGTTGGCGTGTTACATTAAAAATTAAGGAGAAAGATTTAAACCCGAGATTAGAGGTGTGAACGTAGGAAATTGTATGATTTAAGAACGTTAAAAAAATTTTTTTCTACCTTTTTCCTTGATTAATTCGCGATCGTTATATCAGTTGGGATCAGTTGTTGAGATAAGTAAATGTTGGCCTCTGTAATTCTAGAGGCCAAAAGTTTTAAAAGTTAATTTTAGAAACTTTTACCAGTTTATTACCGTATTTCTTCGAATACAGCTCTCGATACCTCGATCGATTGCATCTCTTCAACACGTTTCTTTCAAATTTAATTTAACGACATTAAACGCTTTTCGAACAATCATCAAGTAGCGTGCAAAAGGCTTCTTTAGGGACTAATTTATTTAAAAGATCATTTCTTGTTATTTTTTTTTTTTTACCTAAAATATGTTTATAAATATCAAACAAGACGAATAATATTAGCTCCTGCATTCCAATTCATTCATAATAAATCCATTCGATTAATCCTTATTTTTTTAATTTCGGGAACGAAATCGGTGGAAATTCGGAGAGAACGTTTCAAGCGATACACGAGAAAATAACAACTTGAACAAAATCGTTTCAAATCGTTCGAAATAAATTTACGTAACGTAATAAATCCGAAAGCTGGAAGAAGCTTGTCAATCGCTTGTCCTTCCTCTCACCCGCTTACTCGCGCCCATCCAATTCGCTGTTAACACTGTTAACAACTGTGACTCAACTTAGCTTGTGTATTCTTTTCTTTTCTCTCTCTCTCTCTCTCTCTCTCTTTTTCTCTCTCTTTTCTTAACAATACTAATCTCCCGGGCAAACTATGACAAACGTTATATTTTCCGGCCTGTCGCGCTAATAAACAGCTTCTGCTGCGTTCACATGCACAGAGGTGCCAAGCAGGAGTCGTTGAAGAAGAAGCAGAGCGCGAGGGAGCAGCAGCAGCAGTGCACAGGGAGCAGAAGTCATCAGCAGGCCAACTCGGGTCAGAACAAATCGTCGATCAAGCCAAAGCTGACGCACCGTGGCCTGGTCTCGTTGGTGAGGAAATAATGCCTCGCCACGAGACTGCGTGGTCTCGTCGGAAATTAAGCGGGAAGGTAGCGAACAGCACCGAGAGGACGCGAGCAAGTATATATACTACTTAAGATCTGCTCGATTCGATCTGCCGAACTCTCGCCCCGTGGTCGAGGAATGTCAGATTTGTTCGGTCGAATTCGAGTTGAACAACTCGGTTCCGGTATTCTGGGACCCCCTCCCCCTCGAGGAGAGGAAGGGAACGAGATTTATTCGGACGAAAAGAGATTATTATTCCAAAGGAAATGCAAATATCTTGCAAATCTTTCGAGCCAACGGTAAGAGAAAATCGAGTAATCTTCGTCTTGTCTTCGCGTGGGAAAAAAAGAAAAGAAAAAAAAAAAATGGAGCAATATTCCGCCTCTACTACGGAGCAGATACAATCGTTTTTTCTCCCCCACTTTTAGACGGGGGGTTCAAAAATATACATAAATAACGTACACGCAGCGAAGAATCCTCTTTCTTCCTGCTCGGTTGTTCGACAGGGAAGAAGGGGATCTTTTTCCAAAAGTTTTTACAGCTTCGTCGTTATCAAGATGGAAATTAGAGTAATAATAATAACGTAAGCGTACGTGTGCTCACGTTCATGTGTATTAGGACATGCGTATTGGTTGTGGAGGATGAGACAAATCGATGGGATTATTATTAAGGAATTATCGAAAGGTTTTGAGATTATCATCACCCGTTCAAAAAGTCGGATATTATAAAAGATTCGTATACGTTCTGAAATTTCTTCTTATATATATATATATATCTATAGTTTCGCCTTTTTTACCGAGCTGTCTTGTAAATAATTTTTACCAACTTCTATCTATTTAAGATCATTGTCTTGCATGAATGTAAAATTCTAAGATCTATTTGTACGAGAGTAAGACTTAGTGTCTTAATACTTATGAACGAGAGTATACGTGTATATAATATTGAGCTGTTCAAGAAGTTCGTGGTACAATTCTTCTTTTTTTTTTCTACTAATTCCAAACAATTGGCAATTCTAGAATATTTACTCTTTAATAAAAATTTAATTATTCGCCTAAATTCAGTTGTTCCACGAGCTCGTGGACAAATTCCATTCTCTTCTTAATCGAATACACGGCATAACTTTTTTAGTACAAATCGTTAAAAACGTTCTTACGAACATTCTTGAACAAATCGATACATAACCGAACAAAGTAGCAACAAGTACCCTTACTCACTCTCCGATATTAGATCCGATGGGGACGAGTGATGCGACAAATTATCATAGCAACAATCATTTCGCAACGATAACGTTACTCAATTCAATAACTTTCCAATAGAATCCGGATTATCAATCTGTGAATCGTAAAATATTCTCCAATAAATCAATTATTCTTGATCGTTACTCCCTATAGAAAACTTTAGTTTCCAATATTCCAAGTTATTAATAATCATTTTCTAATTATAATAAATAAAATAACAAAAATAACAATCTAACAAGGAAGAGATTCTAATGACTTAGAGGATGAGAAAATCTTTTCATTGATTTTCGACAATTAGAAAATTGAATAATTTCAATTAGAAACGCCATCATTGCTCGCCATCGTCGGATCTTGACAGTCCCGATCGAGACGAGATGCGATCGGTTCGTCTTGTTGTCTATGT